AATTTAGGTTTATTGTAATAAAGTTTCTACTATGACATTATATTTAATAAAAAAAAAAAAAAAAAAAAAAAAAAAAACAGTGAAATATATATTATAAGATTAAACTTGAATCACCTGTAAATATTATTCTAATCGAATTATTTCACTATAATTTAATTTTATATTAATTAGAATTGTATTGCATTATTTTTAATATAATCGAATTAGTTTGCAATATTTTAATTTATATCAAAAATTTAAATATTTTTAGACTAGATAAAGAAAGTTTTTTGGTTCTTATAACCTGGCCAGGTTACAAAAAGCAGAACTAAAAATTTAAATTATATTACAAATATATAATTAACCTGGCCAGCTGGCCAGGTTATAAAAAGTAAAATAAAAAATTTAAATTTTATATATATTAACCCAGTCAGCTAGCTAGGTTATAAAAAGCAAAATAAAATATAAACCCGGTTAGCTAATCAGGTTATAAAAAGCAAATAAAAATTTTAAATTTTTTTGTCCAAAATTCTGTTTTTATTACAGCCTGTGATAATAAACAATATATGACTGTGTCTGTGCACTTCTGTGATTTTAATTGCTTGAAGTATGATGCCTAGTAAATATATGTGCCAAGAAAGTATCTCCGCTAATTTGTAAAATTATTTAAAATAGATGTAGTTTGATATTTTTATATATCGATAAGTTTTGATGATTTTATTACCTAAATATTCATCTCGCTATGACGATTCTAATGAGTCTGAAATCATAATTCAATTACTAGATCCCAAGATCATTAAGATTTTTACATTGTTGATGCATCTATAGAGTAGAGTAATTAGTTAGACATAGTTTAACGAGTTCTCCACTATAGGTATATCACTTTGGCAAAAACCTTAATGATCTTTGAATCCAGTGATTAGATTTTAATGATTTTGGGCCCTTTAGAATCATCACAGTAAACATTTTAGTATCAAAAACTTATCAATATATAAAAAGTTATATATTTAAAATTAAAAAATGCCAAACTACCTATCTATATCTATTTTTGATGATTTCACAAATCAGCAGAAACAGAAAACCAGCAAATAAAATTTATTCTCTAAAGAATTGTAACTTATATAATTAATACTAATTGATCGGTATATGTGATATTACAATTCTTCAGAGAATAAATCTTTGCTTACTGGTTTTCTCTCTCAAGCACTCATAAGTATCACAGTCATAAGCATGTGATAAAATTTTTAGTTAAAAAAATAAAAAAAAAACTAAATCTTTTTTTCATTATAGTAAAAAGCAAATTTTTTGTGACTAGTATGTAGATAATTATATTTTCTAAACTAACACTTCTGCTTTCTAATAAAAGCCTCAAGATTTAAAGCTCTAAATGGAAAGCTATAAAAGAACTTGGTCAGAATGTCAAAGCTGTTGGTCTTATTTGTAGTAGAACTAGAAAATAAGTATTTTTCATTTTTATCTCTCTTATATTCTACTCATTCAGTACTAATAACTCTTTATCAAATAGTCATGAACTTCGATTCACGATAGCACATTTATAAAATATAGTCACAGGATCCAATTTCATTCGTATCAAAAGTTTAATTAGTGTATATCTGAAATATGATTTATTTATACTTTTACTCTTTTTCTTTTACAATCAATCAAGGTATTCTGTGAAAAGGGGCAAGAATTATTAAATTTACTAATTTTCTCTTTCTCTTACAATCGATTAAAATATTCTATGAAACAAGAATTACGGAATATTCAAAATTTTATTTTTTTATAGAGAATAACTAAGAAAGTATCACACTTCTATTGGCCTTTTTCAAACTTGTGAACTAAATAAGTTGGTATATACCAGGTATATATATATATATACTTTAATAACTATTCATTATATAATTACTAACACTAACTAGATTTTTATGTAACTTAAAAAGAAATGCAGTAACAAACAAAGAATAAATAGTGAAACAATCATTTAAAGCACACATTGTCAGATTTATAAAGATTTATCTTTGAAAGAGAAAATACCAAAATTGGAGAGTATTAATAAATTATTTGTTATTTTTTAAAAAATAATTTTGTAGAGGCTTTTTTTTTTTACCTTCCTTTGCCAAATGATTTCTGTCTATAGCATTTAGTTGAACTATTCGTACTGGTACATATTCTACATGTTGATAGCATACCCTTAGGTATAGGCTAATTAACAGCAAGACAACTGCATAGGTGACAAATATTGAGATAGATTTTTGCTGAGTAGTATGGCTTCTCTATTGGGGAATCGCATGTTCAGGAGTCATTAACAAAAACATACTTGAAGATTTCTCTAATAGGTTCATCAATTACACCTTCTGTATCATCATCAGACTTATTAAGATAAGTATTATCTGCTTCTTGATCACTTTGCTCACTTTTACTTTACTTGCTTTGTTTACTTTGCTCAATTTACTCAATTTGCTTATTATCATCACTTTTATTATCTTCAATATTGTCTATGTTATACTCTTGGTTAGCATCACTAGGATTAGCAGTCAAATCATCTTCATCACATTTGTTGCTATAGTTATTAAGATCATCTTTTTTACTATGTGCCTCAGTAGATATAGTAAGTGACAGTTCTTGGGTATTGTGAAATGCAGTTTCACAAGTATACAAGATAGTATCTAAAAACTGAACAAGTATTTAATGATCTCTCTCAGATAGTTTTTTTGCACTAAACAGGAGTCTTGGCTTATCGCATTCTGCACAAACAACAGTAATCACGACATTTTTAGCACATATTGAAGATAGGCTAAAAGGTATTATATGATTTACTTTTCTTTTCTTGTTTTAATAAATTTTGTTTTAGACATTGCTTCATGATATGAAGGTCTATATTTTTCTGTTGTAGATGTGCTATAAATCTCTTTGAAGGACTTATAATAAGAGTCTACTCCCAGAACTAAATTAGAAAGGTAATATAGTTGGGCTATTATTTCTTGCAAACATTGTGGTGGTAGACAAATTAAGCAATTATTTTTGACACATTTTTTTATGGTAAAAAAATAATGCTTTGCCAAGTAGCAATGATCAAAAAATTCTTTCAAACATAGCTTTACAAAGTAGAGATTTAATTTATTATTTATATTTTATTTTATTTTTTATTTTTTGAATATAATTATAACTCGAATTTTACCTGTTGTTTTAAGTTTTTTATTTCATAATCATCATATGTTATGGCTTTGTCAATTAGGTAAATATTCTCCGTTTGTTTTTTTGTTACAGTTTTGATATTTTGATATGTTAGTCTTGGATATATACCAAGAATAGTAGGGATAAGAGGGTTGTATTGTATATTAGAGGAGTTGGGTGTTGATAGTGAAAGCATATCGAGAAGTAGAGAGGGTTGGATAGATGTAA